GGCACTCATTAAAAGTGACAGATTATTTCTCAGATGCCTACATTATAAATCTTTCCCACGACTACCTATCACTGTGTCCCCCAGTAGATGAAAACCTGCTGAAGACAGGAACTGTATCGAATTCATCTTTGCATCTTTATATATCCAATCTCTAATTTGGTTTTCCCTCCTACTAACTATGTCAAGGTCTTTAGCTTAGTTAAACCAGCATTGATTAAAAATAAGAGAAATAACAACGATCTGTTATTATTGAATGTTTCAGGCTTGCACTAAAATAGAATAATATGAAGAACACCCATGATCCACTACCTGGTTTCAACACTGTCAACATGTTGATAATCTTTTCTCATCCATTTCTCGATCACTCTTGCCCACCACACCACTCCTCATAGAGTAATTTAAAGTGAATCCCAGGTATCATGTCAATTGTTAATATTCGAGTATATTTCTAATAGCAATTCTCAAAGTGCGAGCTGGAATCCCAAGGGATTCCAAGACCCTCTCAGGAGGTCTGCCAGGTTGAAACTAGTTTTATAATAATATTAATATATTGCTTGTCTTTTTTGCTCTCATTCTCTCATGAATGTACAATGGAGTTTTCCAAGACAGATTGAATGCTACAGAAGATCTGAGAATCCAGCTGTCTGTCTCCTACCAAACCAGAAATAAGAGATGCAAATTTTTACAAATCCATTTACAAATATGTAAAACAATGCCACTTTCCTCTGTTTTTTGTCTTGGAAAATATAGTTATGTTTCATAAAAATAAGTATTTAACATGTAATGTTTATTGTTTATTTTTAAAAGAATTAAATGAATATATAAAAGTTTGTTAGTTTTGATTTCCAATGTAGAAAAAAATCTATCTAAATATCTCTCACATAAAGCAAAGCTCTTTGAGATCTTCAAAGCTTTCTTAAACTAGTTTTTAAATTGAGATTTGACATACTGTAGGATTCATTCAATTTTAAAGTGTATAATTCAGTAAGTTTTAGTGTATGCACAAGGTTGGGTAACCTTGTAGATATACTAACAACTCACCACCAGCTAATGCCAGAACATTCATATCATTCTAAAAGGAAAGCCTATACTCTTTAGCTGTTGCTCCCAATTCTCCTTTGTCCGCATGCACTGATGACTAATCTACTTCTGACTCTGCTAATTTGTCTATTCTGGACATTTCATATAATGAAATCTTCTGCGTCTGACATTTCATTTTGCGTGTCGTTATGTTCATCCACATTGTAGCATATTTCGGAACCTTATTCCATTTTTATGGATGAGTAACAGTCCATTGTACCTATATACCACATTTTCTTTATCCATTCATCAGTTGACAGATTTGTATGTTGTTTCCACTATGGGCTATTATGAATAATGCTATTATGAACATTTGTGTCCAATTTTGTGTATGAATACATGGTTTTTAGTTCTCTTGGCTATATCCCTAGGAATAGAATTACTGGGTCATATGTTTAATTCTCTAAGTTTAACTTTTTGAGACACCTTCAAACTATTTCCCACAGCAGCTGCACCATTTTGCATTGAACTACCACCAATGTATAAGTGTTCCAATGCCTCCATATTCCTGCCAAAATTTGTGTTCTTGATTCTAGCCATCCTTGTGAGTATGATTCAATCATTTTTAAGAGTGTAAATGATTCTGAGACTAAAATGTTCAAGAGTTGTTTTTCTAACAAATAGCTTTAAAAACATTTTTAAAAAAACCAAACTCATAGATACAGAGGACAGATTAGTGGTTGGCAGAGGCAGGAGGTGGCAGTGGGGGTGGGCAAAATGAGTGAAGGGAAGTGGGGGGGAATGGGCAAAATGGGTAGTCAAAAGGTACAAATTTCCAGTTACAAAAGAAATACATCCTGGGGATATAATGTACAGCATGGCGCATACAGTTAACATGGTATTATATATTTGAAAGTTGCTAAGAGAGTAGATTTTAAAAGTTCCCATCACACACAAACATTTGCAACTGTGTGATGATGTATATTAACTAGATTTACTGTGGTGAGCATTTCACAATATATACATTTATTGTATCATCATGCTGTACCCCTGAAATTAGTGTGTAAAAATACCCCATAAACATAACATTATCAAATTAACAATAATTCCACAAAGTTGTGTAGTACCAGGGTAATCGATTGGAACAGACCCAGTTTACACCGCTGTACTAGCATAACTATTAATATTGTTGCCTTTGACTCTAACACACTCTGTTTAGATGACAAATTCTATAAACACCCTAATTACAAATCTATGTTCAGATTTCCCCAATTGTTTTAAATACATCTTTTCGCAATTTATTGAAAATGAGATCCAACATTGCTTTCAATCGAGGTGTCTTTAAAAACTTTGTCTATATCAGTTCACCCTCTACTCCATTTCTTTCATGCTATTTATTGAAGACACTTGATAAGTTGTGGAATTTCCCACATCCTTAACTTAGCTGATTATATTGTCTTGGTATCTTTTAATTTGTTTCTTTGTCCTCCATATTTCCTGCCATTTGGTAATTAGATCTAGAAATCCAATTACATTTAGTGTCAATTTTTGTGGAAGAACATTTCATATATGGTGTGTATTTCCTATTGCATTGCATCAAGAGGTTCATAGAATTTGGTTGTCTCATTTTTAAGTGATGTTAAGATAAATTGTTGGGCTCAATTTTCCTTAGTTCCATCCAGCCATCGTAGTTTCCCATCAACATTCCACCTCATAATTTTAATAGCCATGGATGATTGTTGCCTACTCTTAGTGCTTCATTTGAAGTTGTGAATACTCTTACAAACTATCTGGGTCCCCTGAAATATATAGCAGAATAAATGCTTGACTATTTCCTCATATTTACCAATTTTCAAAATAATTGGTTCCTTAGATGATCCAAGGGTGAATGATGGATTTTTAAAAAAGTATTATTATGAACTCATGGATTTGTATATTTTGACATGTATCAATTAGTCATTATTCTTTTTTAAGTCCACATTGTTCCATCTTTGGTCAAAAGGTGCCCCTTCATCTTTGCTCTTGGGTTTTTTCTGACATAACCTTAGTAGTACTTGATAGCTACCTTGCTTTCTGGCATAATAAAATGCCGTATTTATTAGTTTATAACTTATACTTCCATTGCTTAAAATGTAAGCAAATGCACATATCCTTCTTAGAAGAAAGGCACCATATACATAGTCTCTGCCTTGCGTTTTTCACTCAATAGGTACTATGGCGTCCACAGAAATGGTCTTCGATCCTTTGTAGAGCTGCACAGAACTGTATTGTGTGGAGGAATTGTGGTTCATTCAGCCAAACCTCTGTGGACGGACATGTGGGTTCAACAAACATTTATTGAATGACTAAATTGTGCCAGGCACCGAAGATAAAGTCATGGTCTCTGGCCTCAAGCAACTGAGTGTAGAGGGGGAGAACTCTACAATACAAGTACTTTCCTCATAAGGGAGTGAGATCTTGGATCCACTTAGCACAAAGGGCTCGTGAAACAGAGAAGACAGGCTCCCACACAGGAGGGATACAATAACTGTCTGTGGACTGGCATCTTGCTCCCACCCGGACCTTAGTATGAGAATCCCCTTAGGAGGACATGGTTTTTATCAATGTTTGACATTGCTTAGAAAATTATGAGTGCCACCAATTGGAAGGCTAGGCCAAATGAAAGAGGTAGGCAGGAAGGGTCACAACCACAAAATTCCCCTAAAAGAGAGGAAATGTAAGTTAATACAGAAGCTATGGTTTAACAATAAGATCTAACACCTGTATCGAACTTACCACTGATCAGAGATTGCTCTAAGCAGTTTACGTAGATATTAACTCCTTTATTTCTCATATCAAGCCTAAGAACTAAGGACTATTATTACCAGCATCTTACTTTTAAAGATATTAAGGCGCAGAGAGGTTACCGAACTTTTGCCCAAGGTCACACAGCGAGTGAGCGAGGAAGGAATCATAGATGATCCTTGCAAGCAGTGCCCTCTCCAAGACGGGGACTACAGCACTGTAAGTCCCACACCATAACCACTCCCTGGGGAGGAGAACCTTCTGTTCACATCTCACCTTACACACACACACACACACACACACACACACACACACACACACACACACGTAAACACACATATTTCAATTTGTAAGAAAAAAACTAAGTAGTTCTGTAGGGCTTTCTCTGGATTCTTGGGCGTTCGAGGGCCAAAGGAATCCCTAAGCCAGGAGGCGACCTGCTAGATGCATGGCTGAGGCTATGCCGACCCGTCGAGCAGCGCCGGTCTGAGTGGCGGCTCCCAGGAGTAGAGCTTCCTCCTCGCCCCCGGGGTCCCTCTCCAAGAAGCTACCGAAATGGCTCTCCAACCCCTCCTAGTGTCCGACGCCCATTTCTCTGTGCTCCGGCCCCCGCCTTGGCACAAATGAAGTTTGCTTCCCTGGGCTCCCGCGACACGGTGGAAGCTGTATGAAGTCATCCACGAACTTCCGAGGATGACCAGGCACTGTGACTGGCCCCTGTGGGTCACAACTCCACTCTCAGGGAACCCGCAGCGAGGGGGATAAGCAATGAGACGGGCTAAGACAAAAGGGTGGCACAGGGTTGGGGCTTCCCTCTCCAGTCGAAACCGAACCAAAGACCTGCAGGGCGCGGCTTTCCCCGCACTCGCTCTCGGGCTGGCTAAAGGCGCCGCCTGCCGCCCAGCTCCAGCACCGTCCGCGGCTGCCGGTGAGCACAGGGCCGCGCCGGCTTCGGTACCCGACACGTTTCCAACTCCGGATGACACTTGCGGTGTTTCCTTAAGAGCCTACGGATTCACACTTGAAGAAGGTACACAGAACAAGGTAAACCAACAATACACCTTAAACCCAAACCCCAGAAATCGCAGCCCACGCGAAAAAAAAAAAAGGTGCTTGGCGTTCTACGTAAAACTTAACTAAAAGAAAAACTAGATTTTTTCCAAGAGTTGAGAAATCAAAAGGATCCTCAAAGTTCACGTCAGACGGGTCATGTGCCTAACGTCGTAACAAGGTTCGATGGGCGGCACATCTCACACAGCAGCATGAACACCCGATCATCACGCTCATGAACTACAAAAGGATCGTCAAAGCGTGTCGGTTAAGGATCCTTGGGTACGGCCCACTAACTTTACAGAAAGGGTGACAGATAAAGTTCACATATATTCAGCTTTGACTATTATATATCCAGTATATTTTTAAAATATCACTGATATTCCGCGACGTTCCTCTTTTTTCTAGCTTAGTAAGTGAAAACAAACAAAATTAGCGAGCGGATCACACTCCATGCAAATTTTTCTCCCTAGCCCCACCTTTTTAGAAACCTGGCTCTTTATTGCTTTACGACAGTAGGTCGTGAAATGACAATAGTTGCGACAGTATTGGCGGAAGCTAGCCTTGCGCTTTGCGGCAACGACGTTAGCTAGTCGGAATCCTGTTATGCATAGATGTGCGGGAAGCGCTGTGTATATAGGTTACCGTGTTTGTGTAACACCTCTTTTAAGGCTTCCATTTCCTTCCGTCCGTCCGTCTGTCTTTGCTTTTTTTGAGTCTTCAGAAGGCAAGAGTAATTTCTCCACTTCATTGTCGGGAGTCAGATTCCGTTGCTGCCAAAGAGGTGCCTTTCTCTTGCATCTTTTCCTTTACACACACTTTACTCTTATGCGGGTTAAACTCGCCCTCTCCTCCAAGATATCTCGCATTTTTATTTGGTTTTAGTTCTGTTCTTGGAAGAACACCAGGTGATCATTCCTTTCCTCATTAGCGGATCTCCTCCCGCCTTCATCCTCATCCTCAGAGGGAGACCAGCCCGTTGCTGCTGCAGTCTGAGGAATGGAGCACGACAGCTCTCGGGATTTTCCACCGCGAGAGGGCTCTTCCTTGCCTGGAGAGTGGCCTTCTGCCCTCGGGCAGGCCTTCTCCCAGATCTTGCACCATCTTACCGGCCAGGAGTCCAGACGGGGCAAGGCCAGAGATGTGGCTCTTCAGGACCTCAGTGCTCTCATAGAAGCCACAGACTGTGATAAATTATTTGAGGGGAGTGGCACATCGCTCCACGGAATGCCTGAGATGCTGGGGCAGGTGGCCAAAGCCCTGGAGAAGTATGCAGCCCCACCTAAGGAACAGGAAGGTAGAAGTGATGGTCACTCTGCAGTGGCCGAGAAAGCGGCAGCAGTTGGATTACTATTTCTTAAGTTATTGAGGAAAGTTGAGGCTGCCAAGAGTTCCTTGGTTTGCCCTGCATGGAAGACAGGCTTAACTCACTTGGCAGGACCCATCTATATTTTTGCCGTCACACACAGCTGGAAGCAACCATGGACCAGCCCACGATCTCAGAACGTTGCTGGAGAGGTGCTCACCTTACTGCTTCAAGTTACTGAGTGTGGTTCTGTGGCAGGATTCCTCCATGGAGAAAATGAAGATGAAAAAGGGAGGTTTACTGTGATAATGAGGCTTCTCAAGCCTGATTTGAATAAGTGAGTACTTTTGTGGAAAGGGCCACCAACTCGAGCTTCAGCCTGTTTTAGAATATTAGAGCTCAAAGAAACCTTAGATTGTTCACTGGTGAGATATAGGTGTTGTAATAGCAGATCTCTTAAGGCCCAGAAAGGTTATAATTTGCTATAAATGACAACTAGATAGTGGCAAATTCGACATTAGCATTCAGGTCTTCTGACTTCATTTTCTAGTGCTGTTTTAAGTTCATGTGACAACTGTCCTCGAAATTGGAAGCTCTGTTCCATTTACTTAGACTTTATTAGCTGGAGATGGGGCTTTGGCGAGGATTTAACTTTTGCTTTGAATTTAAACTTAGGGATATTGAAACTCATTGGTAGTAGATAAGGATAGTTATTTGATATGGAAGCCATATTTGGGATAAAAAAAAATAGCTTTAGATTGCAGTTAGCTAAAGTATTTTTTTGTGTTTCCACTTACTACTTTGTAAGTATTTGTGATTAGCGGACATGGTCCTGTCCAAATGACCATGGGGACATCTGTTCCATGCCAAAAGGTCCTTTAAATTTGATCCTGTCCAAAACATCCACGGAGACATTTGGTCCATGCCAGCCCATCTACCTAACCCCATGTACCACGACTAACAAAGCTGGGGGTCCCCAACCCTGTTAGGAACTGGGCTGCAGAGCAGGATTTGGGTGGCGGGTGAGTGAGCGAAGCTTCATCTGTATTAAAACCCGCTCCCCAGCGCTAGCAGCACCACCTCAGCTCCACCAACCTGCTCCCCAGCGCTAGCAGCACCCCCTCAGCTCCACCTCAGATTGTCAGGCATTTAGACTCTCATAGGAGAACTGGTCCCTGGTGCCAGAAAGGTTAGGGACTACTGCTAGGCTACCAAGTGAAAAAAGGTTATTGGCAATACAGCCACATCACAATTATTAGACCAATAAAACATAGTATTTTCTGTATTAATCCTATAAACTGAAAGTATAAATAAATATTATGGGCTGTTTGAACCCAGGGATGTTTCCTAAGCGTGGACGTTTTTGACAAGACCAAATGTCAAGGACTGTTTGACATGGATCAAATATGCTCACGGATATTTTGGACAGGACTAAATTTCAAAGACTTTTGGCATGAACCAGTTGTCTCTATCCATGTTTTGGATAGTACCAAATGTCCTGCAAGGGTTCTGTAACAGTGTGGTAATGAGAAAAAAAATGTGTACATAACTGTTATTTTACCAAGAACGTGGAGTTAAAAGGCTTAGTTTTGAGGCAGATGGTGCTGCTTTTTATCACTTCTTAGGACCAAATCACACAACCTCTTTGAATCTGTTTCATTATTTGTAATATAAAGATAATATTACCTATTACATAGTTATTTTGAAGATTAGTTGAGTAATGTGTGTAAATTCACTTTATAAGCTGTAGATTGTTAAATATTCATTTGCTCCCTCAGAATAATAATAATAATAATGATAATAATAGTAATAATAATAATATGACATTTCTTTTATTCCTCTCTCCCTTCTCAACACATCTTCATTGTAACCACCATCACCACAGGTTTTTTACATAGTTATGATTATAAATGGCTCTCATTGGATGAGCTTTAGACCTAGAGCCCTGGGTGCTTGTTATATGCATTTAGTGTAAATTCTATGAGTTATTATGAACTAGCTCTTAAAACATATAATATTAACAGTTACTTTATGTGGGTTGTAGTTTTCTCAAGGACAAGAAAATACTCTCTTGAACTAGGTAATTTTCTTTGCTGATGTCATGTCATGTCACTTAATGTCATGTCACTTTATTTAATGTGGTCTCATATTTCTATTTAGGGAATCCTGGAAGAATAACCCTGCCACCAAACATGTTTTCTCATGGACTCTGCAGCAGGTCACTCGACCTTGGCTGAATCAACATCTAGAAAGGATAATTCCCCCATCATTGCTCATCTCAGATGACTATCAAACTGAGAACAAAATCTTGGGTGTAGACTGCCTCCATCACATTGTGCTTAATGTGGTAAGCAGCCTCCACTCTGCCATCTGTATTGATCAGACAGACTGAGTCATGGCTGGTCTTCATTCATGATACCACTATTTTATTGTTGCCTATGTTTACATTATTTATTAATGCTGTTATGTGACTAAATTCACTTATTTGTATCTTTTCTCTCTATATTTTTCCTCTGTCAACCTAGTAGAGGTTGTATCTCGTAGGTAGTATATATATGAGAAACATGGCCGTTATCATGGACATAAGACATGGGTCATCGTCAAACTGAATAACCAGACCTTCGGTTATTAACAGTTGACTTTCAAGGAACAAAAAAGTCAAACAAAGTGATTATGCCCATACGTGCAAGCTATTACTCTTTTTTTTTTGTAACTCTGTATTACTACACTTTTTTATGTTAACTGTGATTATGCAGCTTTAAAACATCCACAGGAGTAGAGAGTGGTATCATGAACCTAATCCATGCACACATAATCCAATTTCAAAAATTATCGACGTTTTGCCAACCTTGAAAAACTTCTTTTAATTGGATAATTTGTCTGATTGCAGCCAGCTGCTGATTTGCTCCAGTATAACAGGGCCCAGGTTCTATACCATGCCCTTTTCAACCACCTGTATACACCTGAGCACCACCTCATTCAGGTAATTGTAAGATTTATTCATAACTGTGAGTCTGAGTTCTCATATTTAAATAAGAGGTGGCATTATGTGAATAAGAATAGTTGGAAAGTGAAGCTGATACTAAAGGCCATTGCCAAGTTGAAAATATGGAGGTAGCAATGACTAATGAAAATATCTCAATACTAGGCAGGCATCCACATTCCTGAGTCTCCACAAAAAAGCCAATGTTTTGTCTTCATCTGGGTCAATTATATATCACTTGGAGGCAGCGTTATGTCTGAAAAAGTGCTATATTTATTAATTTAAATGTTCTTTTTCCTGCACTGTTTTATGTCACCACACACTTGAAACTCCTTGTATGTTGGATATTTTATTGTCATTATTCTTTCAGTAGTTTTTGAGTACCTACTGTGCGCCAGTAACCAGTGTAGGTTCCAAGAGTGAATGAATCAGGGCTTCTGGCCTTAAGAAACCCTTTGGGAGACATATGCAAATATATGAAATTTATACATATGTCTATAATACAGAGTGATAAAACTATTAAAAGATGTTTGTATAAAGTGCAGTTGGTATTCAGCAATAGGCAGCTAACCAGGTTTGGTGGTTTGACGGTTTTAGGAAGATTCCAGAAAGAGGTGATATTTGCTTACGAAGGATGAATAGGAGTTTCTTAGGAGGGGGAAGAACATTTTCAAAACAGAAAAAACAAATTATATAAAATTAAGAGGTAGAAATAACCTCGTTTCTTAATTTATGCCTACTCACCCTGTTACCCCTGACCCTGCCACCTTTCTTTTTTAAATGTTATTTTAGATATCAAGAATCCAGGTACTCACAGCCAGAAAGATTAGGGTTTCTGAGATGGTTTTTTTAAAAAAAAACAAACCAAAAACCAAGAGAAAAACCAAGAATCCCGGGAGAGCTAGAAGGAATTGCGTAGACACTGAAACTTTCAGATAGGGTGGTCAAATTGGACACAACTGA